ATGTTGTTATTATGTTGTTATTATGTTGTTATTATGTTGTTATTATGTTGTTATTATGTTGTTATTGTGTTGTTATTGTGTTGATATTATGCTGTTATCATGTTGTTATGTTGATCGTTACACGACTGACGTTAACTTCGGCGCTGTGCGTGTGTTTTCCCTTGCAGACGACCGTGGTGCTGGACGGGCGATCGTGGGCGCTAGCCGAGGTCGAGTCGGCGGCGTTGCCATGGAGCTACGTGCCGACGGAGTTTGCGGCGTGGCGACGACCCGACCCGCCCGCCGTCGTCACGCAGCACGTGTTCCCGCCGCGACGCTTCGTCATCCTCACCCGCCAGGTGCGTAGGCGGAATGTAGACGGAACGTAGCCGGAATGCTGACAGTACGTAGATGGAGTGCAGACGGAATGTAGACGGAACGTAGGTGGAAGGTAGACGGAATGCAGGTGGAACATAGAAGGAATGTAGCCGGAACATGGACGAAACATAGATGGAACATAGATAGAATGTAGACGGAATGTAGACGGACTATAGATAGAACGTAGACGGAATGTAGATAGAATATAAATGGAATGTAGGTGTCATCATTGTGGTATCCGGTGAAGTTAGGCAGTGAAAGCTAGATGCGTGTATCGTTCCAGATGATTGTTAAAGCTCAGTCAAAATCGATGCTTGCCTTTGGTGCTGCTGTCACCATGCCATTCTTCACGCGGCAATGTTTTTATTTGCTGTTCAAGATTTATAACGTTAGATTGCCGAGTGCGTTTCATCATGGTTACTCTGTGAAGATTGCATTTGCCTTAAACAATGATACGTAATAAATTTGATGGGAATTCACGGACTGAAATTGCCTCCAATACTTGCGAAACTTTGCTTATGCACCAGATGTACTTATATTAAAATCTTACGCGCTGCAGGGTAGCTATCTGTTTGACTTGCTGAGACCAGTGGACCAGCTGAAACAGCTTCTGGTGAGGAACAGCGGGCCGGACTGTGAGGCAGTGAAGGCCTTCTTCACACTACACCAGGTACGCGCATGTGTACGTATGTGTGTGTGTGTGTGCGTGCGTGCGTGCGTGTGTACGTGTGTGTGTGCGAGCGTACGTGCGTGCATGGGTGTGCCTGTGTGTGTGTGTGTGCACGTGTGTATTTGCATGTGTATTTGCATGAGTATGTATGTGTACAGCTGTGTGTACATGTGTGTCTGTGCATGTGGGTATTTGTGCGCGTGCGTATGTGTATGTGTGTGCACATGTATATGAGCGTTGTATTTTTTATGTGATCATTTGACATGATTTTCTTGAGGGTTTAATAATCGGCACCATCTACTTCAAATCTTAGCATTTTCAAT